ATGTGTTTTTTAGTCTGAAACATTGCCAGCAGCTTTCTCGTACATGTTTCTGTATACTTTTCTGAGACTCTCTTCAAAGATTGCTCTGTGAGGCTTCCCTTTGTACTCAGCTGCATGGCGAGACCAATATTCACCACTATCCAAGTGAACGGAGGCATTTTGCTGCACTGGTGAACTGTCAACAGAAAGAAGATAAGAAACAATGATCAAATCAAGCCATGGAAGAGGAATCAGATGCACAAACCCAGCAGAAATACAAATGTAGAGCTGCTAAGCACATACTGCCTTTCACAAACTGAAACAAACACTGCACTGCAGCTACTTCTAAGAAATGGGAACCTCACATTTCATTCACACCAACTCTCCCCCACTTACCTGAGTGCACTTTCTAATGCCTCCCAAACAGGAAGAGAATTAATTTTCAAAGAACATGCAGTAATTTTGCTGTATTTTGGTGGGCTGTGTGACTAGGCACTAAGCCTATGCAAGAGAAACACAGTAGGATTTCTGTGTCCTTTGAAGGTTAAATTGTAACCACAAGCAGCTATTGCAATATGAAGACAATCTATCAGGGGTATATTAAATTACTGTGGTTGCAGCTGTAAAGTGCTCTATCGGAAGCATCTTGGATTAAGTATTCTACCAAATACATTATGATATAGTGGCAATCAAGTGTTCCTTCCCCACCCCATCTTCTGTGTCACTGTTTTAATGCTGAACACAAATAGATCAGTAGGTTTGAGAAATTATTTCCTAGTTCCATGAAGTGAAATTTATACTCTGAAAATCATTACAGAACACTGACAAGCCTGAAGTGTTCATATCTAAACATCATGACTATTTTCCTCATCTTGATACTTCCAAAACAAAGGCTTGTGTCATATAATTAAATGAGTGATTTCCCTGTAATAAAGCATGAAACAAGTACCTCAAAAATCATCAGCAAAAAATGACTACTGAGGGGACATTTTTCACATCTGCTCAGAGATTTAGGCACTTAAGACACTTAAAAATTAGGACTGGGTTATCTTCAGCCTTTTGTGAATGTTCTCTGTCTGGGAAATGAAACTGGAAATGAGAAGCTTACGGTGACCATCTTTACTTAGGAAATGGATTACATTTCATAGGGAAGCTTCACGTTTTCCAATATACATATCATTTATTAATGATAATGCCTTCTGTGATCAAACCAGTACTTAAAAGTTCATCCTCAAGTTAGTATCAGTCAACATCTGTGACAAAATTGAAAGAAACCTTATGTCAAAGAACCCGTGAATACATGTCTAGCTCTCTGCATTGAAACACAAAGGCTTCACTTTTAGAACGGAAAACAGCGAGGGAAAAAGAGGAAGATGTAGGATCAGTTTTCTAAATTCACATCTCTAAGCTTCCACTGTTCCACAGAAAATGAAAGAAGGAACAGCTTTTGCTTTTAGATTTCTTACATTCAGATATTAGGGTGATGCCAACCTATACCAAATGAAACAATGAGACCTCTGTGTGGCTCCAATATTAAGAAAGGAGCAAGGCCACTTTCACACTTATTCAAAAAAGCTCCAGCATTTAAAGTCAGTCAACAGCATAAAGCAAATTTAAACCTATTTATCATCCTGAGTGAACTGTGCTTCACAGTTTGGACACAAAGAAACCCACCTACCAAACAGCAAAATCAATAGAGAAGTTAAACAGGCCTGTGTCAAATGCAGACAAGCCCATTCCCTGGGGACTCATCAACAACTAAAGTTTCACCTCCTCCTTTCTGCAGTTTCTCTCACTGCTGATGGAGATTCTCAGACCAACAAATAAGCACAGCACTAGGAGTGGCACTTGTAACTATACAACCAACAGCTTGGACACACTTTTGCGTGGAATCCATCTCCTGCAGGCAGCCTTGTGCTTGCCTTTTCTTCTGCAAAAATCTCAATCTACCTCAAGACACTCAAAATCCAACTACTTTAACAGTAGTAAAGGAAAAACTCAAACAGCAATATTAACTTCCACAAGCTCCTTATCCTGGTACTGACAAAGACCTATAAAAAGACATAAGCTTCATTTTCCCTTCTCATTTTGGAGGGGTCTGTGTTTGTATGCATTTCCATTAGCCAGTCCTTGTGCATGAGATACCTGGCACTGGTATGGACAAAGATAGTGCCAAGCTATGGAAGAGTCCCACTCCTGTCTCAACTGGAAACCAGCTGACAACCTGAGCTAAGCAATATGGGAATTACACTCACAAATCATATTAACAGCAGGATTTCTGCACGCAACTCCCTGCTCTGAAATACCTGTCATATGCTTTTGTTCCCTCATACATCTCCTTTAAGAGTCCCAGAAGTTCTTTTCTGAGTGAATCATATACTAAATATTTCACAAAACACAGACCTTTTCCTTACTCCCAGTGGTTTTCAATCATCCATCTACTTTACTGCCAACATTTGGTCGACAGTACCATGTCCTTCTATGAACTCTGTGTCTGTCCTTGTATCCTGTTTATGAGCACTGTGGCAAACACTCAGCAATCAGACTGTCCTCGAGTCCTTTTATGTCTCATCCCCAGTGCTGCTGGCCTCTAAACCCAAGGAGCAGTCCTTTCCCAACTTGAGTGCCACATTTCATATCCCATCACTTCAGGATTCTGTAGTATTAGGGTTTGTTTTGGATTTTTTCATGGTCTGCAGTTTCAGCATCAATCTCAAAGTCCCAAAGCTGCTGCAAAACAAAAACTTGCACTTTCTATCTCACAAACACATTCTACACAACTTAATTGCAAGAGCTGTCGGACAAAGGATAAGGGAGCAAAAAGGCTACGTGTAGAGTAGAGGAGTGAGCACAGGTACAGAGATACTAACAACTTCTCCCTGCCCATGGCAGGAGGATTGGGACTAAATAATCTGTAAGGTCCATTCCAACCGCTAAAATTCTAATATTCTGAACTTCAGCAGTGACTCCACATGCATATGAAAATCTGAGTAACTAGATGCCTTGCACAGAGGTGAGGACCAATCACAGGAATGTTAAAATAAGCCAGTAAATTATAAAGAGACTTTTTAGAGCTTACTCATTGCAAGTATAAGTTCACTATGATACCCATATTGAAACAACCTCTTTTCAGCAGCACACAGTGGTGATTTGGGATGCCTTTGTTACATCACACTTTATCCCAACAAAACCTTTTCTTTTCTAATGGCAACACCACTTAAACACAGCACCACAGCTCTCCCTTAATATGAAGAAAACCAGGAAAACCATACAATCCCCCAAAAGATTTTCATTACTTAGTATCTTTTCTCTAACAAGTACCCAAAACATTGTACAAAACACTGTGTGCATACACAGAGAACGTCAATATTGATAACGTCTACTAGAGAAGTTGTCAAAATCAACTCCATCAGTGACTTAGAACTAAATTATTCAAACAAAACCCTAGTCATACATGTGAGGAGTACATAGAGTAATTAACATACATAAACCAGGTTTCCAGGTATCCAAAACATCTTCTGGAATCACATGCTGATTCACTAACCTATCGTATATAAATTTGCTGTGTTTTTTGAAAATGCTTCTCTTTTCCAAATATTTGTTTTGCAAAAGTAAAAAAAAAAAAGGAACAAAACCACAAAACAGCCCCAAAGCATATTACTAAATAAACTCCAATTTATTTTTTCACTCCCATGGTTTTAAGAAAAATAGTAACTGATAATTTTTAAAGGGACATTTGCTCTCTGGTTGATAAAATACAAAAACTACTGCCCAAGAATAACCTTATAACCAAGTCCAATTCCAAAATCAGTGTTTTATGAAGACTATACTGACACAGTGCCAAACAACATCAAAGGCATAATTGTAGTTAACTGTATTTTGTTTTTAGGTGAAAAAGCTTGGTATGGCTCACTCTTACAGAAGCTTTTTCCCTGTGCAGTGTATTACATAGCTCAAAATGGGAAGAGAAATTTTTATCTAAATTTAAAGGGCAATATTGAGTATGACTGTTCTGTCTCAGTCAGATTAAAACTCCATACCGGCTCTGCAGTTCACTCATGGAAAAGGGTGCATTATGTGAAGATTCTCTTCTTGTCTTAGTCAAGTATCCTTTTGATAAGTTACTCCCATCCTAAAAAAAGCAGAAATCAAATTCTCATTACCTTGGTTTCTGATTACAATGATCTCATTTCAAAAATACTTTCCTTCCATTTAGCAGAAGACTATTAAAGTGCTTACATTTCTTGGGGGAGAAAGGGACAAAGTCTAATGAGCCAAACACCATTTATGAACATTTTAATTAAGTTCAGTACAATTCAGCTAATAATTTTCAGGTAATAAACTGGAAAGAATTTCTAGACAGTGTAGATCTAGAGAAGTATGCAGATGGCACAAGCTTCAATAATCCCTAACATGTTGGTAAAATGATATGAAACCAACTGCTTACTGTCTTATTTTGTTTCTTGCAGAAAAGGGGAAAAAGAATCTAAAACTTACTATTTATCAGCTTTTAGAATGAGCCATTGTTATCCATTTCATGTGTTTTACCAGACAGAAGCATTGTACACATCAGACTACTTAGATTCCATACACAGACTGAGTATATGCCTACTCCACTTAAAAAAATATCTGGCACACTTAATGACCCTTCAGTGGTATTCCTAGGAGTTTCTAGAATGCAGTCTTACCTTCCAACTGCTATCTAGACGTTAATTAACCCCTATTTGCCCTCTTAAGTAAGTAAGAAACAAAACACCTCATGTGGAGGGAGCCAGTTGCTCATCTGAGACAGGATGGTAGAAATTCCACCACACACACCTATGTTCACTCTACTATGAAAAGCAAAGACCCTACTTAAGAGGTGATACTAAGTGATGCTTTCAGAAGAAGCCAATTGCTGTAAGGATTAGTAAACAAAGTCATCTTTCATGCTACAGCAGAAATAATCGGAAAAATGACTGTGCAGTAAAAATAATCACACTTGCTGGTAACACAGAACTGGAAGAGAAGACAATAAATATTGTGGTAGATGGCAATAAGATGCAGAGCAAGCTGAACGGCAGGCGTATGGGTGAGGAAAAACATAAGACAATTTATAGTGGTGAAATACAAGGTAATAAGTGTGTTTGTAAACAGGAAAGCTCTCTTCCTTCAGCAGTCACAGACTACAAAGCACCGAAGAGGAAATGGGGTACAGTGGTAAATAAAACTCTGCAGCGTTTGCCAGAGGCAAATTATGTTCTGGAAAGCAAAAAAAGACGGAAACATTACAATACTGTCAGAATGTCACAGCAGAAAGCTACAGTGGACACCCTAAGGAATGTGCAACAAAGCTTCCGTCACACTATTTTTACAGAGCACTATGAAAATGAAATTTTGGAAGGCACAGCTGGATGCTTCTGGGAATGGTTATTTAGCATTAGGCTCTTCAGAATGAAACAGAGGAAGAGATACTTTTTAACCTTTCAAAGTTTGGAAGAGGATCTAGATTGGAGCCAAATTCTGCTCACCACATTGCCAGTACACTTGTTCTCTCACTTTCAAGATGACCCATTTACCTCATCCATCCACTGCACAACAATACAGCCTAGATTTTGGGCCATCTGGGGAAGCACAACCAATCCTGGGGTATTTTACAGAACTCACTGCAAAGAGAACTGGTATTTTTTTTGGTTTTTTTCAATCAAGTCAGCTGCTGTCAGCACAGCTTTCACGAGTCAGCTGCACACAACTATCACACACCATGAGACTTCTCTGGAGCATCTTCCCACTCCTTTTCCTCAGTGGAAGAAACTGGAGTGAGAAAAATGGTCTTTTGGCAGCATTGGTCCGACCAGGCCAGTAATTAAAGACCCATTAGCCCAGTAGCTGGATTTTTTAGGGCATAAATACAAGGCTTTCCAACAGGAGATGAAAAAACATCGATCATTAATCCCTTCAAGTATTCAGCAAGAGTTTGATACTGGAGTGACCAGGTGCACTAAGAAAAAGCCAACACAAAGTGCCATGATTCAAGAATTCCAACACAAAGTCGTGTCCAATATTGCAGTAATGAGTGAATAGCTGCATATATGTAAGTCATTCTAGAGTAGAACTTTAAAGGGATATGAGTAAAATAAGTAAATAGGAAGAAAGTGACTGAATTCTCCTTTACCCATTATTATATTTCATAGTCTTTATGACTGTATGAAGAGACCGTACCCAATCATCCAGCTCTCCCTGCAAACTAGTAAATCTTTTATTGTAAGGTCATGGTCTACTGTTCAAGGAAAGTAGTCAAGGACCACTGGAGATAGTTCAGGCTGTGCAAACTTTCATTACATGCAGGTGCTGGACCGTCATGAAATCCAATTTGTTATCTTAAGTTCATTGAAACATCAGAGAAGCTTTGACATGATCTGTACCTACTCTGAAGTGACTAAAACACAGAAAAATGTAATGGGCATCTTCTGTTTGAGAGGCAGCAGCTCAGAAAATCATAACATTCGTATACAAACTCCGGGAGGTACAGCATGAACTAGATCAAACAGTCTTAGTATGCATGAGAAAGGGTTTTTCTGAGTTGAAAACAAGAAGCACAACAACAGCTGAAAATGAGGATGGAACAGAAATGAGAAAATAATGAGATTAAGCAAGCATGCAGGTGACACAAGGAGCTGCCAGGATGGCTAAATTTGTGTAACTAACTAAATAAATAAATAGAGGCTTCAGAGCTAAGACAGATGTTCTTCAATACATCTTGCAGCAGTGGATCGAGATGACAATTACCACTTCTGCCCCAACCCTCTGCCATGGGTTTCCTGTAGTCAGTAGTCACCACACTGCAGCCAGCACAGCTCACAATGCAGTGCATAGTTCTGTGCCTTCCATCGCTGTGCTCAAGTGTGAGGGAGGGAGGTTGGGCTCCCACACTCTCTGTCACACTTCCCACTGATACAGGAAACTATGTCAGAGGGCAAAGTGGACAGCCGGGGACAGCAATGACTTACAATTGCATCTACATTCAAAAGCAGAGTTCTGTCAACATTCTTTTTACTACGAGGAGAAAATGAAGCAAAAGTCTTTGTCCACTTTGACAGACTCATGTCTCTTCTAACCCATTAATAACATTCCTGAGTTAGATTGTCAGACAAAAATAGTAATTTCGTCAGAGCTCCTAATCATGATCTTACCTACCTCTCATCCTTACATCCTTTTATCTCACCTTTCTTTTACCCCACCTCACACTTAAGCATCTGAGTTCTCTGCAGATGAACTACCTTGTTATTCAGTTTGTACAATGCTTTGGCATTGTGCTGTGCCACAACTGTGTTTCTCAAAATCACAATAGGAAAAATTTTTGTCTGTATAAAACCACACTTCAAAATTTCATCAAGGACAAAACGGTCTCATCCCAGGAGTAATCTCATTAGATAAAGAGCTCTGTTCATTGAAAGTCAGGTAATTAGGGGGAAAAATCACACATCTGAAGAATAATATTAGCTCTACAAACAGCTGGATACAAGCAGCTGCTGATATACAGCTGCACAACATGCTAAACCCTGATATTCTACAGATCTGTAACATATTTTTTTGCTTAAATTAGAAGTGGGGAGCCAGATATTAAAAAAAACCCCAATATAATTGCCCTCAATAACCCATGAGAGGGTTACCTGTACCAGGTGTCCATAAAGGCTACACATAAGGAGACTACCAAAATCAGTGTGACACAGTTCAGCCCACACACCAAATCCATACTTCTACAATCAAGGCTGTCTCAAAGGACAATAGTAAAATAAATCCAAGAGTATAGGCACAGTTCTCTTCCTCCGCCATTTTGAGAGAAATGAAAGGATTTAGTTTGCAGTCAAACTTACAAATATTAGGCGCTGTCTAGCACGGTGTGTCCTTAAAATATTTTTCACTCTTTTATGGATCTCATCTCCATTTGCTGGTGAAGGCCAAAGAGAGCTAAATCTGCAAGAGGAAGAGGAAAAACAAAGAGAAGAAATATTTTCTTGTTGAAAAGCTCAAACATGCTTTTGATTCATTTTTTTCTTTCAATTATGAAGCGTGCATTACTTCCTCCTGTTTGGAACATACACAATATTTAGATTTGATTCTTTTTTCTCCTCTGGGATACAAGTAAAGAAACATTTCAAAGCAGTGCCAAAATGGTATGCAGCCACAACACCAACAGAAGGTGCAAAACAAGGAAAATGTTGATGATTTTGTAACTTCAGTAATATTTCTGTAATGTTTGTATTGCCCCTACAGAATAGAACAGCTACACTATTCCCAGTGATCAGTTTTCATTTTCCTCTCTTTAAAGGAAGTATTGCACACATGAAATTCTTTTCACTGGAATAAATCAACAGGACGATAATCCCAATGCCTGCAAATTTGAAAACACATGGAGTTAAAACCCCTGCAAATTCAAAGTATTTACTTCACAAAAGAACTGCATTTAAGTTGCTTTTTTACATTAAGAAACAGGCAGCTTGCTTGATATGAGTGACTTTAACAACTACTTTTGGATCTTGCCCTTTTATGTTTTGGACCAATTTTTTCCACTTTCCTGAAAAAAAACTCCACCCTCATCCTTCTCAGCAAATTTAGAAATTTTGTATTAACTATTATTCTCAGTCTGTTAAGGGAAGCAACTAAGATTTTAAGAATAGGATCATTTATACACCAACCACATGTTAGTATGTAAAAATAAAGTATTTAAAATAGAGACATCAATAAAAGGAAAGAATTATTGGGGAAAAGTTATGAGATGGTTTACTTGCACAATCTCATCACAGTTGATAGAAACAGGGCACCAAATCAAGATTGTGCATCTTCATTTCAATGTTTCCTAAACTCTGAGAACTTGACTTTGCACCAAGAAAATAAAAACTCCTGATGTGGTATCATGCCAATGTGAACACAGGTCACTGGGCAAGCTGTGAGCTGGCAAGTCATGTCACTGCAATCTGAGCTAACGGAACAGCAGGCAATGGCAGCTCAGGGCTGCCATACCCTGGGTGGATTAGGAGCCCCAGAAACAGTGACATGCTCTGACAGCTTCACAAATTTGATGTAGTGGAGAAACATCATGACTCTGAACCCTGAGATCCCACAGTGGGCTCTGTACAGGTTTGTGGGACTGGGAGTGCAAGCTCTTCTGCACTCCTCTCTCCAGTTTATCACATTCCCTGTGTTATCCAGTCTATCACTCCCAAATCCCCAGTCAGATCGTGCCTGGCTTAGTTCACCTTCACCAAACCTCCACAAGTTTCAATACAGCTAAAGAACTATACAGCTCCTTCCAAAAAGAACAAACCAAGTACACATAGAAAGCTTCAGTACAAAACAAGTAACCTGGCAATGTTAAAATTAATGGAAGCAGGATCCAGAAAATGGGAAGTGCCAGGCTGCCTTGAAGGTTACAGGCAGGGCACGGAGCTCTTTGCAATCTTTTGGATCATTCCTTCTATTACCAGAGAGAGCCTGAAATATATGTAGAAAGTGATCAATTCTCTGCTTTTGAGTAACTTTCTTCTATTTTCTTGTCGCTAATCAACTTATTTGGACTCATTTACTGCTGCTTATCTTGCCAAAATATCTCTCTTGGTTCTAAACAACTCCAGTATTTTCAGCTTATTTATGAATTTCCTTAAATCAAATAATCTGTTTGTGAATGCTTCTATTTTTCTTCAAGAAAGGGTGCCAAGAAATGATACAATATTGAAAGGATAAAACATACACTCTATACGGGGATATATTTCGATATTTCTAATGATTTTAACATTGTTTATCTTTGGATCATCACAGACAAGAATTCTCACAAAGATACACTTTGGCTATAGCCTCCATATTAGCATCCTGAGCATTTACAGTTAATTTCAAACCCAAGAGCATGTATGGCAAATCCATACTGTACAATTCCTTTGCATACTAGAATCTAACGATCTGTTGCACTAAAAGATCTCACATAACTTCTTCTAAAAGAAAGCAAAATGGTTTGTGAATTTCATTATGGGAGAAAAGCATTGCCTTAAAAAAGCCGAAGTCTGAGTCCCTTAAGCAGCTTAGGCAGGAACATTCATTTCCCTAACGCAGTCAAAGCTGTTTGATGTACTGCATTACAATGCTTGTGCTCCATCCTCACCTGTGTTCTGAAAAAAAACTTTCTCTTTTTACAAGATGAGAGATAAAGGAAAAGGGTTGGAGCAGTACTATCATCTTATGACTTCCCATTAGAATTTACAACATTTACCGATATTAAAGACCTCTGAAATGCATGTTTAAAAATCTGCATCCTAGATGCAGTAAGAGTGAGTCATTTCCCGCTTGACAAATAAAAGATAGACCCATGAAGTCATGGCATTTTCTCTTATTTATACAGCAGCTGCTGTTCTTCCAACATTCAGGTTGCTGGCTCTGAGGAGAGAAGTTGGAATAGATTGCCTTTGGGAAATAAATTTCATGAAATTCGTATGTAAGATTTCAGATCATTGTTATTAATCGTAAATTTACAAATATCCTTGGAGATAAATGCATTTACTTTTGGAAATAAAGAAAACCCAGCTTGCTATTGTATTCATTTGGAAAATACATGGCTATGTCTGCAAGAAGAAGAAGAAGATTTAAGTAGTTAATTCAAGAACTATTAAATTTCTTTCTCCGGGTGACTTTATTGCTTAATCCACTAGTGTGCGCTGTGGTATAACAAACGTGGGCCACAGGCAGACCCCAAACTTCATTTACCAAAAAAAATACAATCAAAAGCCTAAGTGTGATTAAAAACGGTATCAGCTTCTTTTTAATTAGCTTTTCTAGTATTTTTATTGTCTAATTTTAGTAACAACTCTAGAGTCTAATCCACATTTAAAGTATACTGTTAATATTTACACCAACCAAACCTCAAACTAAAATAAAATCATGCCTGAAATGTAACAACTATAATCTGGAGTGAAACCTTTTTATGATATTCCAACTCTCCTATTGGAAATATAGCACAGCTTCTTGGAGTATAAATAAAGGGATTCCATTTGCCCAAAATTGCCAATAACGATACTCTAAAATGACTAGCTACTTATTTATGTGATTAAGGTGTCACTATCATATTGCAATGGTGAAAGGAAAGTCATTTCATTTCAATGACTGTTTGCCCTGATAAACGAAATAAACTTCTACAGCTGTATTCTTTGTCATACTTTCAATTTTCCTTGGGACTTGCAAACATTCTGCAGTTACATCAGTTTAAATTGTTTATTGATTCCAATAGATTGTATAAACACTTTGGAAATATAGCTCAGTGACCTAGAAAAAGCCAGATCAATCAGAGAACTTTTCAAGATTAATTTCAAAGATGTTGTGTCGAGTCCGATCAAGGAAACAGAACCATTTTCCCTTGTAATGTGACCAAAGGCATTTATTTTCTTTTATGAGATAAGGATTTTTTTAAGGTCATACTGACAACATCTACCTTGATGAAATAAAGAAAGAAGAGAAGGCAGGCAGATGGTGTAGGTTTTGTGCTAAAGATTATTTTCATATATAATTTTATCCATTAGGATGAAATACTCCATTAGAAATGCAAACAGGATACATCCACCCATGTACTCTCCTCAAAGAGCAGCTTGCAAACTTGAGAGCTGTAATAAATAGGAATTTTTAAATGTCAGACAATCCAATCATCCAAAAGAAGAGAAGGCAGGCAGATGGTGTAGGTTTTGTGCTAAAGATTATTTTCATATATAATTTTATCCATTAGGATGAAATACTCCATTAGAAATGCAAACAGGATACATCCACCCATGTACTCTCCTCAAAGAGCAGCTTGCAAACTTGAGAGCTGTAATAAATAGGAATTTTTAAATGTCAGACAATCCAATCATCCACTTGCACATAGCCCTTAATATCTAGGAGATACTAATACATTTCATATCAGTGGAATTAATGCAGAGCCTGCTGCAGAATATTTGCAATGCCTCTCGTGACCCCTTCCCCCACCATCACACCCCTTCGCCTTGGGAACAATTTGGTGCATGTGGCCTCCACGCAGAATTCATCAGCTTCAAAGACACAGACTTCACGCTGAGCAAAACCACATACAAGGACAAACTATCAGAGGGCAGAAATCAATGAAGTTCTGTAGTACCACATTCACAATTGGAGAGAATGCTACTGTAATAGGGGGCAAGAGGGAGAAAGAACTCTCGAAGCTAAGTACAACCTGAAGAAACCACAATCTGCAAGTACTTATACATGCAATAGGAGAGAGTCTCAAGAAAATCAAATATATTTAATGCTGAAATGCTGAAATTTTATATCCATGCAGGCATCTATTCAGCATTCATAGTAAGGAAAGAGGTTGCTTTATTCTCATTTAAGAGGACATGAAATGCTAATTCAGTGTGATGAACTTAGTTTGCTGCATATCCTAGTCTGTATGGAGGCACAACAGAAAAGCTGGGCTACACTTAGGAGTTCTTCTGGTCTACTTACTCAAGGACACAATTTTGCTTTGCTTTTTCTTAAAATGACCAGTGGCTATGAACCTTCAGTGCAGCTGCAGCACTGGAGTGTTTTAGAGCCTATATTGGCACATACCAGCCTGAATTGTAATGAAACTATACCAACACAGCCCCCTTACATTCTCACAGTATTTGAAGTGGAGGAGGTAGGCTGTTTTCACAATGGCATGATTCTACTATGAAGCAGAAACAACTACACACAGGCAAGGGCTTAAATCAAAGCACAGGAGCCTAAATATTTGGAAGCAGAAGCTGACAGCTTAGCTGTGTACCAATTTTCTCTTCCTCTTCAGTAAGAAATGAAGAAAAGGCAAAAATTGCTCATGTTTTCTATATAGTTTCCTTTCCTTTCACAAGCCCTGTTTACAGTTGGGCCCTGAACCACTAGTGACACATTCAGTGCTGAGTTCTTAAATTGGTAAACGCTTTCCTTTCCCTTCTAAGTTTCATATGCAGCCCTTAAAGCTGTGGCAAGACACATCATCCTCATGTAAAAAGGGAAAGTTAAGTGGCAGGCAGCTTCCGAGATTTCAATGAAAGTCAATACTCCAGCTGAACAGTTGCCCCCTAAAGGTTGAAGTAATTCTGGTACTAAATCATTAGTATGTCACAAATTGGCTGCACCTCCTTACGCTCCTTGGAAGATTTTCCATTACCTTCTATCTTTTCTGAATTTATTAATTTATACACAAAACAGCTTTGACAGTAATCAATTTCAAATTTACTTACTGCTGCAGCAAAATCAACCAATGAAGATGACAAATAGTACAGATGTTGATCAAAAATATGAAACAAGGCTTAGGTACTGCTTAGTTTTACAGAATATAGTATCAAAGATCCTGGGATGACACATTTCAGATCACTGAAGCCAAAGGTTCTGATAACTGGAATTAACAAGGACTGCATGTAGGATCTAGTATTTCATTCATATCTACTGGTATCTATCATTATCATTAGCAATATCTTACTTCATGCTGGTATTTCCCTAGTACTTGGGAAAAGATCATATAAAAAGATGGTAGTAAAACAATAGAGGGATATTACAGAAGGACATCTGATCCAGACAGTTAACCTCTGTCTCACTTCAAAGACAACTTAGGTTTTTGTTAAATTTTATAGCAGGCAAAATCACATAGCAGCAGCATAACTAGGAGAACATGAAAAAAGACATTGAGCTGCACTCCACTCTGGAAACAAAAGCAAAAGTGTGCTGTTTCCAGAGTAGGAAAAAGAATCCTTTGATCCCAAATGCATGAGAAGTAGCTTTGCCTCTCACATAACAGAAATAGTCAAATACTCCTATGATTGTTGCAGTCTCTTGAGAAAAGGATTTCTCTTGTGCCAGCACACAGCTCTGTTCAAAGGACTTCTTGACCTTACAGAATCCATCTCACTATTTCTCCTTTTCTTTATGAAAGGTACTTTGCTGCGGGTTTCAGTGCTGCAAGGAAGGCTTAGCTTGTAAGTCCCCATGAAAAACACCATCTAGGAGTGCATGAGGATGTACATACACCACGAAAGCAAGGACTGGACTCAAATTTTGCTTTTCTGAAGCAGCACTGAGAGAATATAGCACCAATGCTCTTTCCCAAAGCATTCAGGATGCTCATCTCTGCACAAAAGGTTACTGATCTATGCACAACCAACCAGACTAGGGGACCAAGGCAACTGCCTTGACACATTTCTGGCCACACATTATGGGCAGGGACTTGAGTGTGTATGTACCACTGATCTGCACAGGAGCTACAATCAAATTCACAGACTCACAGAACAGTTAGGGTTGGAAGGGACCTCTGGAGAGTTGTATGGCCACATCACTCTGCTGAGTGTCAGCTTCCAACATCAGCGAACGCCTTCCTTAGGCGATGTAAATAATGGAAAATGTAAAAACAAAGTATGAAAAACAACTATTCAAAACTTTCCTGTCATGTTCAACAGTAAATCTATTTACAGTTCTGCTTCTGACTCAAACACAGTGGAAAAGGGAAGAGGATTGATTTGTGGTTTCTCTAGCAGGCGCACAGAAAGGGACTGTAAACTGCTAGAAAGGATACAAAAGGGCTCAGAGGACCTTATGCAAGACCCCAATTTCTGTAACACTGAAAAGTATTGCAGTGGCTTAAGAACTACACAGCAGGGCTCTGGGAAGTACTCCCAAGAAGGCAGACAGTCACTTCACACCACTTTTTAAAAAAGGAAAGGGAGAAGAGGGAGCTAAAGGTCGATGTGGGGAGTCAAGTTTCATATTGACTGTGGGCTGACTAGCATTAAAAAAAAATAGCCTGGATATGCTAAGCAATTTGTATTTGTAATTCAAAATAAAATTGAGGAAATAAACACCAAATACTGTGAGATAAGACTCTATATTCTTGCAAATACACTAACACTTCTATACTTTCAGTAGTACTGATTTTCTCTGTATTTCTATGATCTGAACAGCAGCGTTTGCATGCATTTCCAAACACTGACCTCTGACCCATGCTTGTCATTCCAAGTATAGCTCTCAGTATACAGTCAGCTAAAGCCATTGTTTGTCTCAGCAGCATGAAACAGAGATCAAGTTTTTAAACTATGCCCTTTATTTCTCATTTTGAATCTTTTTCTGATGACAAAAGTAAATGCTTACATCTTTTCCATAAAGAGATGGTACAGCTCTGAAGAGCTGAGAACATTTGCTCTAATAAGAAGAAAAAGCATAATTTTCCAAGATCACAAATCTCTTCTGGAGAAGGGCTCATAGAGAAAAATCAAGAATGTTCAGACAAATTCAAGATTAACTGGCAGATGACCAATATACTATGCATGTAACAGCAGCCCACAACATACAAGACTTTCCTGCTATCAACAGAAGGGACTCCATCAGCTTTAAATAAAATGTGTGTATAATTTAGTCCCAACCAAGTCCAGCAGAAAAAAAAGGATAAAAAATGACAATGTCTTTTCCCCAGATATGGGTAACTAATGCACAAACATTGTCAGAAGAGAATGGGGAGGCAGACAAGATGACAAAGAAACCTCCTCCAAACCCCAGATACATCCTAATCTCTGTATAACAGTTCTTGAGATACACTATTACACATAACAACTAACAAGCAAGTTTTCAAGCAGAGGAAGATGTTAAAACACCAACTTGATCTTTGTAAGTATTAAAAATTCAGTCCCCACCTGCCATCTGTCATTTTTCTTTTTAAAGAAAAAAAAGGAGACAATTTTTCTATTTTGAAAAGAAGCATTAGGCTGTGTGTAGGCTATAAAATGCACCCTGTGAGCATTGACTAACTGAGGTACCAAAGGTAACAGGGATCAAACAGCCTGGAATGAGTGTGAACTAGCCACCGAAGTTCACCAAAGCATTTAGGACAGGACATCAGTTTAACCTTTAGTTTCTCCCAATTATTTTGGTTAGCAGAAAGCTAACCAGTAACTTACTACCTGAATGCATAGGAAAAGCACCAAGTACACATTCTACTCAGCAGGAGGTAGGGAATATTGTCCTTGAAGAACTGTAGGGCTTAAGCATGACACCATCTGTTGCTTTCTGACATTTCTTCCATCCCACCCTCATAAGACACTGAAGCTGTGAAGCCTGTCCAGGATATTAATCCAGAGATTGAAATTCATTGAACTAAGGGATAATAGAGACTGTCTCCAAACCAAGCTCATTGGGGTTAGTGGAGACTACTAAGGAAACTAATTTAAATATAGCAATTAATATACACACAATTGCTGCAGAGGTCCACACTTCAATTCAAACAAACCAAAATCTTAGGATGTCATTAAAGCAGAAAGATTAGAAAACAATACACTGAGTAGATTACAGCTAGCCCAAGCAAGTTATGCACACTAGTCACACACCTGAGTACATCACAGCCACACGTGCTTACAAACACTAGTCCTAAGTCAGAGGGAAGAAAATGTTTCCAAGTCCCTCCTGTAAAGTCTACTTGACATGTATCTGTACGTATATTCCTGACACTCTAATGGCCTCTGAGACAGTGATGATTTATTTAAGTATTCTCTGTTTCAGATGGACAATGGCAGCATGAAATCTGGGGTGTCATTGTTTCAGAGATTTTCACTCCCATATGAATAGGACTGTAATCACTAACAAAGCAAACACAGCACCTGAAGAAAAGTCAAATAACAAAGTTGTTGCAGAAAAATTTTTCAGTCTCTTCAGCCTGCACATCTCCAAACATTCAAACCACAGTCATGCAAGCCCTGCATCATCTGCCCATGTTAATTCCAGAATTTCATGAACAAAACCAGGTCATTACCTTTCTCTTAGAGAAGACTGATTGAGCACAG